TTGATTGAATCCATTATGGATTAAATAAATCTAAGTAAATTGTAGTTTTGTTTTCCACTTAATTTATTCTCNATATATACATATATATATAAAACTGGGAGAAATTTAAAAATAGCTAGATTTACAACTGGTCGTTCAAAAATAGCCCAATTTCAAAAGTAATAGAAATTAGCCACTTTTTATATAAAGATAAATCTGAGCGAAAACACTGTTCAAAACCCGGAAAATCTCCAGTATATTATGCTGGAGTTCCACCATAAGTATACTTGAACTCCAGCATATTATACTGGAGTTCCAGGATAGTATGCTGGAACTCCAGCATAATATGATGGAGTTCCAGCATAAGTACACTAGAACTCCAGCATAATATACTGGAGTTCCAGCAAGTATATTGGTCCAGTATAATATACTGGAGTTTGGAACACCAGTGCTCCAGTCTCCAGTATATTTTACTGGAGCCGGCAAAGTATACCGGTCCAGCATGATATGCTGGAGTTTATACCGTGCTATTTTTCAGTTGCCAAAAAAAGTTAATTGTCGCAAAATGCTAAAAGTGTCTTAAACTTTCCATTTTTGGGTCATTCTCGTAGCTCTCCCACCAAAAAAAGACAGGGACCCAACCCAGTCCATTAAGGGCAGCTCAATCCAACCCGATTCGGGAAACAATTGGCTAACCCTTGATAGCCTGGTCGGCCGGGACCAGTTGACAGGTATAGGCAGGAATGAGACACAGAAACGGTCAGGAATTGGGGAAACGACTGGATGGAACAAAAGAAGAACAAACGTTTGCTCCTTGATCATATAGAATACCAAAACTGAAGAGAGAAAAATCAGACACAAACCAGTTCCATTTACGTATATACACTTCTAAAAGTAGGCCTCAGATGAGACCGATAAACACCTCCTGGTTGCTGGATATACTTGGATTACCATCCAAATTACTGAATGCATCTGCAGCATGAAATCCAAAATCCACCAGTGGGTTGGTATCGCCTGTAGAAGACTTCAGCGGCTCTTCATCATCCATAAAAGTGGATATACTCCCCTCACAAGTGACAGCATTATCAGCGTTTTCATCAAGAGAAGGAGCTTCAACATAAACATTAGCCATGTCAGCTAAAAGAACTTCTAGTGAGAACTTGGTATCACCATCTTCATTGGCTGCAAACTTCACATCTAAGATAGGGATGTCAAAGTCCAGAGCAGAAGACCTTGAATATTCACAAACATTTTGCATAGCGACCATGTGGTAACCTTTTGAAGCATCATGTTCTTCAGATTCAGCAGCATTTTCTAGATTACAAGAATTCATCTGTGGCTCACTGGTAGAATCTCTTACTTTAGTCTCTGCAACCTCATCATCTTGATCTGAAGGACAAGCAGTGGGATCCTGCGATCTGCAGACACTTTCTTCTGCATAAAGATGATTTTTTGAACCAATTATTCCAGAAGTTTCTTTAAGGTGCACATTTTCATGGAGAAATTTCTCCTGCTCTTCATATGGCTCAGAAGCAACAGTTGAACTTGCATTACGCATGCTCTTGCTTTTATTAAGATCAAGGAAGCCTCCAGGGTCCTGACTTCCAGTGCTTGGAGAAGCTATTTCAATATTTCCATTTTCTTCACTTGCAAGTTCAGGAGCTGCTGCAGAAGAAGCTATGATGAAATTTGCATTCTCAAATTCGTACTCCTCCTCGGTGAAGTCAGGAGCTGCAACTGCTAGAATTTGAGTATACTTTGAAGGTCTGTCATTGTCATTTCCCTCCAAAGTACAGTCATGAGCGATAACTGAATCACTGTGAGCAGATCGTGAAAACTCATTCTTCTCATTTACTACCTCACTAGCAGATCCAGAAGCAATAACTTCCGAAGTCCCATTATCTGGTAGAAGAACATGGGATGTGGACAGAAATCCAGAAAGTGCTGCAGCTAAAGCATCATCAATAGACAAAACTTGCTTCTGCATCTCTTGAGAAGAAACCTTTACTGATTCAACAGTATCATTTTCTTCTTCATCCTCTCCGCATGAAAACTCAGGGGCAAGAATCACAAGATTTGGAAGAATATGTGAAGGATTTGAACAAACAGGCAGGTCATCAGAAGGGTCGGACAACTTATCGCACGGGAGATCCTTCTTCTCCAGTTCTGATGCCCCACAAGGCCGATATTCACTTCCACCATTATACGAAGAGCTAGAATTGGAATCACTGCAGGTAAATGAAGGAGCTGTTATTCTTGTGCAGGACGTGACTTCAGAATATCGGGAGTTTTTTGCTAGAGCTTCTACTTGCTGCTCCAGCCGTTGAAGTCTCATTTCCATGCTGTTCATTGGACTAACCATGTTTTCTTCAAATTTCAAGCAAATATTTTCAATTCTGCTCACTCGCTCAAGAAGTTGTTCAATGGCTCTTTCAATACGAGCTTGTGATGCATCATTATTCATGGTGGAGATATTGCGGTTCTCTCTGCTTAAGTTCTGGTGTGTCAGAGGCTGTGAATTAGGTTGTTCGTCTATAGGCTTCTCAGTGACGTCCAACTGCACTATATGATTAGCACTCATCCTCTTTTTCTGGTCATTTTCTTTCCTGGCATCAGCAAAATCAGATATCCTTGCTGCAATTCTCACTTCATTTTCCTTTCTTTGACTATCAATAACATCTTTGTCCTGCTTATGGCTTATGCCTGATTTAGATAGTTGCAGAAGGGTAGGAACAAGCATGGCCATGAAAGAACTAGCTTGGTTTTCCATAAGAACTGCTGGGGTCTCAACCTCATTAGAGTCAATAGGGTCACCGCATATGTAAATTTCGTCAATGCATACAGAACCTTTATTCTGAAGAGATAAAAAGCGAATTGTCAGTGACATGCAGGGATCTGCATCACTAATTTGTGCTGTGGCCTCGTACAAATCCTGCAAGATAAGATGTGTAGTCAGAGAAAATATTGCAATCTTGTAATTTAAATTGGCTGTTTTCTCCATAATAAAGTAGTTGAATAAAAGAACCGAGACTCCGTAAAAATTTTGCTATTAATATTCCAAGAAACGCTGTAGGACAGAATCATCTATGTCAAATGCCTAAAAATTCAATAGAGTTGATGTTATTACACTCAATATCTCCAAAAGAATTCATCTTCCCCTAGTTCTCTTTAACCCTTTAAACCATTTTCGTTGTTTTGTTTATACTAAACAGCAAGTCTGCATAAGTCATCTAATAGTGGTACCTCAATACTTCTCCGTTCATTCCCTGTTGTGTGCTTTTGCAGGCTGCTTACCACGTTCCCAATGAAAGGAGAATCAGGGACCTTAACGTCGACCCAGTCATCGTCGTTGGTGCAAAGTTTGGCTTCAGCTGGGACTCTACCGTCTGTTGGTTTTCCTACAAAATCCTTCAAATATTGCTGGGTAACTATGTCAATCCCACTAGCTTGGAGAAATTCTCCATCTCTTTCAGCTATGTTACAGCGGACGGTACATAGATACTCATCGTCGCTCTGCAGAGTAGGTGCATAGTATATCTCATAAACACGAGCAGTACTCCGAACATAGACCTGCCTTATTTCATGCTTTTGCATAAAGCATACTGCAGATACAGAAATCGATAGCATCAGAATATAACAGTTGAGAAAAAAGTTTACTTAATTCTTTGGGCTGCCACATCTCGCTAAAGACTATGCAAACTAGTACAGGCATAAACTTCAATCATTCCGGTTAAGGAGAAAGGAGAAGACCAAAAAAGAACTGCATTTTCCCCAAGTAAACCTCAAAAACATATCAAACTCTGAATACCCATAAGCAAAAATCTTGGATAGCTAGTGCATCACATTAAAATCAGCATCCTGGTTATATAGGTTAAATAAGAATCCAGAACACTTAAATGAAATCACAACAAACACCATATATTCCGAATATACGAAACGAGTGAACTCATAGCGCTATTGCTACTTAGTCTATGATACATCAAGTGAGCCGACAATCTCTGGGAATGGGCTCAAAACCCAATCAAGATGACTACAAGGGCAGTGTTAGGAACCTAGAAACACTCCTAACCTTGATATGTTAATTTCCAAACACAATAAAATATAGGAACACACATCAACTGTTAATTATTTCCACCAACAAATTAAACAAGGTTTACAAATAGACAAACAACAACCGAGAACAATAATTCACCCAACAACAAGGTATTTCGAGGAACCTTATCCTCCAGATTTAATCACACAAAATCCTACAGAATAAACTGCCTCCCTTCCCCTCTTTCTAATACAAATAATACAAAATAACCATCCTAACTTCTAGGTAACTGCTAGAAATACATACACATAGTATTAAATAAATAAAGCAATTACATTTAAGCCTTGTCACCCTTCTTCCTGCGGTTACAGACCTTAGTAACAGCAGGTCTAACAATATCCGCCCCAACGAGTTTCACCTTGTCCTCAAGGTGAACATGAGGAAACTAAGCATCAATAACTTCATAGGATTCCCAAGTGTTCTAAAAGTCAGCTAAGTCCTTCCACTTAATCAAAATCTCCTGGAGCCATTCAAGAGTGTCCGACAATCTACCACACTTTCAAGTTGCACTTGCATTTCAAGTTCTTCAGATAAGAAAGGAGGGAGCTGCTGAACTGGAGCAGAATCCTCCACAGCACGCTTTAGCCAAGAAACGTGAAATACGGGATGCACCCGTGAATGAGGGGGTAAATCAAGGCGATAAGCAACTTCACCAATTTTACTCAAGACAATATATGGCCCATGGTAACGAGGGCTTAACTTCTCATTAACATTTTTAGCAAGTGAGCGAAGCTTGAAATGTTGCAAGCGAAGATAAACCGAATCACCAGGCTGAAACACAACATTACGATGCTTAGCATCAGCATAAAGTTTCATTTGAACTTAAGCATGTGTTAGATTAGCTTTGAGTTCGAACAGAAAGTCCTTGGCTAAGAAAAGCGACGAGACGTCCTTCTTGCATTAGGACACCTCCAACACCTAATCCTGAGGCATCTGTCTCAACCACAAACACTTTGTTGAAATTCGAAAGTGTCAAAACCGGCAAAGTGACCATAGCCTCCTTAAGACAATCAAAGCTAACTGAGCTTCTTCATTCCAACGAAAAGAATCTTTCTTGAGCAATTGTGTGAGTGGCCTGGCTATTTTCCCATAGTCACGAACAAACTTCCTGTCGTAACCCGTGAGTCCCAAAAATCCCCCCAAACCTTTTAATGTCTTTGAGAATTGTCCAATTAACCACGCTTGTTATTTTGGTTGGATCCGTTGAAACTCCACTTGCGGAGATAATATATCCCAAATACTCTAGTTGTTGCTGTCTAAAATGATACTTTTTTTAGATTGACAAGCATGAGAAATAATACACCAAAAAATTATATTATTGATGTGTTTAAACTATAATACATATTGCTGCTGCTGGTAAGGATCTATTGTCTCTGTTTGCCTTTTGAGCCGAGTGTCTCCCTGAAACAGCCTCTCTACTCCTCGGGATACGGGTAAGGTCTGCGTACACTCTACCCTCCCCAGACCCCACTTGGTGGGATTTTACTAGGTTGTTGTTGTTGTACACAATACATACATTACACCTATTCCATGTGGGACTATGACTACTTACATGAACTAACTCTAACATTCCCTCTCAAGCTGGTGCGTATAAATTAAATGTACCGAGCTTGTTACATATATAGCTAATACGAGGACCACCGAGAGATTTGATGAAAATATATGCAAGATGGTCATTTGACTTCAAAAATTTTGTAACAATATATCCTGAGAGAATCTTCTTTCTGATGAAGTGACAATCAATCTCAATGTGTTTAGTCCTCTCATGGAATACTGGAATTGATTCAATATGAAGGGCAGCTTGATTATCACACACAAGTTCCATTTGACTGATTTCTCCAAATTTTAACTCTTTGAGCAACTGTTTGATCCAAACTAGCTCACATGTTGCCATAGCCATGGCTCGATATTCTGCTTCTATGGTAGATCGAGCAACTACATTCTATTTCTTGCTTTTCCAAGAGACCAAATTACGTCCTAATAAAACACAAAATCCAGATGTGAAACGTCTATCAGAAGGTGATCCTGCCCAATCAAACATCTGCGTATCCAACAATATGCTCATGGCCCCGATCCTCGAATACTCGTCATTTGCCTGGAGCTGATTTTATATACCGAAGAATGCAAACAACTGCATCTCAATGACTATCACAGGGAGAGTCCATAAACTGACTTACAACGCTCACAGGAAATAAAATGTCAGGTCTAGTCACTGTGAGGTAATTCAATTTGCCAATCAACCGCCTATATATTGCAGGATCGCTAAGAGGCTTCCCATGTCCTGATAGAAGTTTAGCATTTGGATCCATAGGAGCGTCAACAGGTCTACAACCCATCATTCATGTCTCCTCAAGAATGTCTAAAGCATATTTTCTTTGTCAAAAAACAATGCCTTTGCTAGACTGAGCAACCTCAATACCTAGAAAGTACTTCAATCTGCCTAGATCCCTAGTTTGGAAGTGCTGAAAGAGATGCTACTTCAAATTAGTAATACCATCCTGATCATTGCCAGTAATAACAATATTATCAACATAAACCACCAGATAAATAGACAGATTAGGAGCCGGATGCCGATAGAATATTGAGGGGTTGTTTGGTTGTTGGTTAGAGTTATGCAGGAATAACTTATACATGGATTAGTTACGCTAGGATAATTTTTTTGAATATTTGGTTTGTTGTATTAAAAATTGATATACATTATATAAATTTTAAAGTGAAATATTTATTTACTGATTTTGTCTCTAATAGATTGAGAACAGGAAGAGCCTAGCAGTGAGGCATCAGTATCTCTATGCTTGCTCTCCAAAGGATTTGATACTGATCAATCTATCGAAGGAAACCTTTATGTGTAAAGTAATAGGAGTAAATTTGTCATTTCAATATTTTATCCATGTATTACTAATACATGTATTAGTTATTCCATCTTCCCCGCATAAAATAAGACACAGACTGACTCATAACTTATACATGTATTATTTATGTAGAATTGTAAAATGACAACCAAACATGATATTAGCTATGCTGAATTTTGTACAAAATAACTAATGGCTACCAAACATTGTATAAAAGTTATGTTGCCCACAATACATGGATAACTTTTCTCCTAACCAGCTACCAAACGACCTCTGAGTGATCAGCTTCACTACAAGTCATGCCGAACTCCTGAATAGCTGTGCTGAACCTGCCAAACCAGGCTCAGGGAGATTGTTTCAAACCACGAAATGACCTACGTAATTGACATACAAGACCACTAGACACCCCTTGAGCAACAAAACCAGTTGGTTGCTCCATATAAACTCCATCCTCAAGATCACCGTGGAGAAAGGCATTCTTAACGTCCAACTGATAAAGAGGCCAATGACGAACAACAACTATAGACTTAAAAAGGCGAACAAATGCAACTTTAGCCACGGGAGAGGAGGTGTCACTAAATCAAGCCCAAATATCTGAGTATATCCTTTTGCAACCAGACAAGCTTTAAGCCGATCAACCTGGCCATCTGAACTAACTTTGACAGCATAAACCCAATGACAACCAACAGTAGACTTACCTGAAGGAAGAGGAACAAGCTTCTAAGTACCACTCGCATGTAAAGCTGACATCTCGACAATCATTGCATGTCACCATCCTAAATGAGATAGTGCCTCACCTATAGACTTAGGAATGGAAACAGTGGTCAAAGAGGATACAAAAGCATAATGGGGTGATGATAGACGGTGATAACTTAAACCAACATAATGGGGGTTAGGTGAAGTGTGGATCGTACACCTTTCCAAAGTGCAATCGGCGGACTAAGAGGAGACAAGTCCGCTCACGGTGCAGAAGCTGATGCAGGACATGAATAATCTGAGTTTGATGCTGAGCGTGAACGATGATGATAAGTCAAAAGTGGTGGCCTTGTGGCTGGAGATGTAGGAGGAGCAACTGTAGACTCCTCAGAAATGGTTGTCGTGGTATTGTGGACGTCGATGGGGATGCCTGATAAGGAACAATAAATTCCTCACAAGTAGGTATAGGTAAGGCCTCAAATACATCTAGATGATTAGATGAAGTAAAGTAAGGTTGAGACATAAAATACCTACGAAGATTAGGTGAGTAGTAACAATACCCCTTTTGAAACCGACAATAGCCAAGTAAGGCACACTTCGAGAGCACAAGAAGCTAATTTATCTTTTCCGGGAGCTAAGTTATGAACAAAACATATACTCCCAAAAACGCGAGGAGGAAGAGGATATACGAGTGACCTAGAGAATAATACTGAATGTGGAATCTAATTTTGGATGGAAGATGAAAGCATTTGATTAATTAAGTAACAAGGTGTAGAACTGCATCACCCCAAAAATGCAGCAGAATATGGGACTCAATGAGAAGTGTGCGAGTAGTTTTAATGAGATGCATATTCTTTCTCTCTGCTACCCCATTCTGTTGAGGAGTATATGGACAAGATGTCTGAATTCCTTGAGAACTCATAAATTGCTGAAACTGAAAGGATAAATATGCTATGGCAGTATCACTACGAAAAGTGCGAATAGAAACACCAAACTGAGTTTTAGTTCAGCACAAAAACTCTGGAATTAGAAAACAACTTAGAACAATCTTTCATTAGGAAAATCCAAGTACATCTTGAGTATTCATCAATGAAACTAACAAAATAACGAAATCTTAATGTAGAACTGACTCTACTAGGACCCCATATATCAGAATGAACTAAAGAAAAAACAAACTCTGCACAACTTTCAGCATTATGTGAAAATGTAGCTCGAATATGCTTCCCAAGTTGACATGACTCACAGTCTAATGTAAATAAACTAGACAAACTAGGCACCATCTTCTGAAGCATTGATAAACTCGATTGTCCTAAACGTCTGTGAATTAGGTCTGGAGGATCTATGATGGAGTTTTAATATATGCAGCACCTCCTGCAAATGATCCAAGTGAGTAGGAAAATTTGCACTATAAACTAATATGTCATAAAAAAAGACCAATACAAACATACGTAAGGCCGAAATATCTCATTCATCAAAGCTTGAAATGTAGATGGAGTATTAGTCAACCCAAATGGCATGACCAAAAACTCATAGTGGCCTTCATGTGTACGAAAAGCAGTCTTGGCTACATCCTCCTTGCAAACCCGGATTTGATGGTACCCCGATCTTAGGTCCAACTTTGAAAAAATAGTGGCATCCCCAAGCTCCTCGAGTAACTCGTCCGTTGCCGAAAATGGAAATTTATCGAGAACAATAATCTTTTAACAAATCCACCCAGAATGGATGAAGTAATCAAATTTCATGAAATTTGCCATAAAATTTGCAATCTCTTTTTTCTCACGAATAAGAAAACAAACAATCACTCGATCGACTAGGTCTCTGGTTCAAATCGCTGATATGAATACTTGTACTTCATTCTAATGGTAAGTCAAATTAGGAGATTTCTATCCCGACACTACGGTACAACTAAGTCTCTAACTCTAGAGAAACAGCGGACCTAAATTGGATAATTAGTAATTGCAACATATACAATTGATTTAATCAATAAACAGCACGATATGTTGATTTTTGATTTTGATCTTGATAGTCACTTACACTTGATTTCGCAGGGGGCAAAATCCGGTGAAGGTCCGTCGAGGATAAGAGGAGATATCTGAGTGGATTCAGAGTAAATAGAGGATTCGAAGGTGATGCAAGTTTGGAGAGAGCCAAGAGAGATGGTCCAGTTGGTTGAGGAGCTCCACGACGTATTCGTGTGATCACCGCCCATGTCCTCAGTTGGAGTTGCCACCATTGTGGTGTGCGTCTTTTTGGCTTCCTCTTTCACCGAGCACCAATCTGAATTTTATACCCTTCTATTGTAGAAGAATGTCACCGATCTTCAACTTAGCGTTTTGCGTACGGTTCCATTTTCCTCTTTTTTTCTTTCTCATATATTATTTTTTTTGCTGGAGTTTCGCGTCTGTTTTCCCAATTTCTTTTTCTTTTTTGCCTTTACCTTATTTATTTAAGGCCATCTCCAAACCTTGCCTCCATTTTTTCTTCCAAAATAAAGTAAAGTTATTCCAACCATTACTTTTTTTTTACACCAAAAAAGAATATTTCATATTATATTCTTTTCTCTCTTTAATATTATACTATAATTTTTTATTTAAATTTTGTTTTCTTATTTCTATTAAAAAAATTCTTTCTTTTTTCTTTTTTACATATTCATCACATATAACTTATATTCATTTTTTATATAACCGTTTAATATAAAATTATTTTATACCATAAATTTTTAAATAATATAATTTGTAAGCAAATATTATAGATTATATATATTAAAGGATAATTCAAATAAAAGTGAAATCATTGAAATACAAGATAATTAACTTACAATTTTATATAAAAATAATAAATGCGTGAAAATTAATTTATCAAAATTATACGCCAAAGTCAAGATGTAAAATTCATACTATAATGATATTACATAAACATAATTAGGTTTATGTAATATCATTATAGTATGAATTTTACATCTTGACTTTGNGCTAAATAATAACCCATATCATATTCTTTCCATGAATAACATAATGGGCGAGAGGAATAATACTTGCAGCAAGATCGGAAAACAAATATGATGACTAAAACATTAATGTTATTATTGGTGTCGGGCATACCAAAATATGCATGGCATATCCAAAGGTCATAATCAGCTACAACTTCAAGAATTATTGATGGGGGATCCAGTACCACCTGCATATTGTCCAGCCCATGCTGTTGGATAATTTTTTTCATCTCCAATGCATGTAGTCTAAACTGCCTAACATTCCGGGAAAACCACGTTGTTCACCGATGTGCAGAAGCCTTGCAACATCGTTAACTGTTGGTGATCTCAAATACTGCTGGCCAAAACCCTCTACGATAGCTCGGTAAAATCTCTCTATGCTTTCAATTCCAGTCGACTCTCTAATTTTCACATATTCGTCAGTGGCATCCGCTGGCACACCGTATGCCAAGTAATTTTTTGTAGAGTAGATAATCCAAATCTACCCACCACATCAACGCATTGTTCGAAGTACATATCATAACCTTTTATTGCATCAACAATTCGAAGGAATAAACTCCGGGACATCAGATATCTACGAAGAAATTGTCCCTCATTAAAGCGGGCTTTATCTGAAAAATAATCGAGAAATAAATTATTATCAGCACCTTCTCGGTCTCGATTCAAATTACCAGGAACGAAGCCAAATGCACTCGACGGCTGAGATCAAAATAAAACCTATTATATTCTTATCTACTAAATTATTATGTCTACTTTTATCTCTATATATTGAGGTGCCAACATAACCTTCTATAACCACAATTGGCTTTTATTTTTCTTTAAACAAATAATATACTTTTCCTCTAATCACTTAAAAAATGGTCCATTCGATCTGCAGGATACTATGTAAATGATGATATTCTATTATGCCGAATGCATTTAGATGTTTCTCAAGATCCAATAACAGGCGTCAATCAATCTAGAGAATAATTTGGGGGTCGAGTCGTAGATGCATACAATAATGCAAAAGAAGATTTTTGGAAGAGTCGCACCAAAAAATCATTGCAAAGCCGAATGCAAATGATTGAGAAGGCAATAAGAAAATTAAATGGATGTGTACGTCAAATAGAAAATTTGCATCCTGGTGGTGCTTGTGATGAAAATATTATGAGTATTTATTTTGTAGTTACTTATACTTTATTTGTATATATTTACTTATTATTTTTCTTAATTTTTTTTAATATTGCAGCTTACACAAGCAAAAGTTTTACTTATGCAAGATCCGAACTTCAAAAAATATTTTAAATTTGATCATGTGTGGGCGGTAATGAAGGATTTTGAGAAGTTTAACGATGGCGATCTTAGAAGAAAAACCCCAAGAAAGCAAGGCTATGCTAATATATCATCGGAATCCGAGACTTCTACCCCCGATTCACTCTATCTATCATTTCCTAACTTACCATCATTTTCACTAAATTTAAATGAGGATGTTGCAGGTGATTCCATATCAACACAACGGCCTAATGGGGTGAAAAAAGAAAAAATGAAGAGAAAAATCGATGAAGGTTATATGAAGATAGTCCAATTAGAAAATATTCGGCCCCATTCACTCAATACTATAATGATTTTGGTGTATCTAGAAACGACATACCTCCCTACTAAGTTATTATGCTATTTACCGTAGTTTCAATTTTTATGTATTTTAATTTAATGTATTTTTAATTTTTACTTTTCAATTTTAGCAACATCTAATATTTATATTCGCACCTTTCAATTTTAGAAATATCTAATATTTTATATTTGCACCATTCATGTTTTGAGATGATTATATATTTTTTGTACAATTATAACTTATAATAAAATTAACTTACAATTTTACATAAATATAATAAATGCACAAAAAATAATTTATCAAAATTATACGCCAAAATAAAGGTGTAAATATTATAAAGAATACATAAACATAATTAGGTATATATAAAGAGATAAATTAAAAGAATTAAATAATAAAAATAATAATAATGTAATAGGAAATGGTAAAGGAGGAGATTGAATAGTGTCACTCCAAATTTGGAGTGACACTATTTATCCCCCATTTTGCAGCCAAAAATGCAGCAACGTTGGAGACCAATTACTCCAAAAACCACCTGCATTATAGCAAATGCAGTTGGCGTTGGAGATGCGCTAAGTAAAATAGAATGCCAGATACTCGTTGCACTTGAGTTTCAATTATAGCTACAAATTATATAATTTTACTTTTTTCTTTTCTGATTAAAGTTCATTTATTAAAAGCATAGAAATAGTTCAAGGAGGATTATTACAAATTGGGATTAATCTAAATGATTAATCCCCAACTAGTCTTTGCGGTACAGAAATAAAACATGTAAGGGAGGGAGATTCCAGCATAGGATATCTGAAATGATTCCAATCATTCCTATCTTTCCATTTTGCGCCAAGGAGTCTACTACCCTATTAACTTCTTTATATGTATGGCTCAATGGCGGTCAGTCCACTACCCTTAGGAGAAACATGCAATTATTAACAAATGTGAGAAAGATGTAGTTTTTGTAGGTGTCGCGATGAGGTCAACCAATACTTGTGTGTCTATTTCCACTAATATAGGAAACAGATTTTTTTAAAAAGTGTAATGCCCGCCGGTCGTTTTGCGTATTTGAGTCCCCTTTTCCTATTTGATGCTTCTCGTATCTTGTTCGTTATTTTGTGGGTTGCGGGGATGATTGATTTGGTTTTGGAAAGTTTTTGGAGTTAACCGGGACACTTAGTTCCATGGTTGGAATCTTAGACTATAAGAGTTGACCGAGTTTTAACTTTTGAGTAAACAACCTCAAAATGATATTTTGAAAGTTCCAATAGGTTCGTATCGGGATTTTGGACTTAGGCGTATGTTCGGATTTGGATTTGGAGGCTCCTAGATTGATTTGGCTATATTTGGCGAAAGTTGAAAATTTGAAGCTTTGGAAGGTTCATAGGTTTGACTGGGAGTTGAATTAATGTTATCGTGTTCGAATTATTGTTCTGAGACTTAGAATAGGTTCTTTATGTCAATTGGAATTTGTGTGAAAAGTTTTGGTTGCATTCCGAATTGGTTTGATATGAAGCGGACGTTTAGTTGGAAGTTAGAAGCTTATGAACTTAAGAGAAGTTCAATTGATGATTGGTCATCGATTTGTAGATGTGGTGATATTGTATGTACTTTGAGGCTTTGAATAGGTCTATATAGTGTTTACGAACTTTTTGGAATGATTGGACGGGGTTTGTGGTGGCTCGGGTGAGTTTCAGACCACCCGGAGCTTGGTTGGAATTGCTGATGACTGCTCGTGTCTGGTGTTCTTCGCGATCGCGGAGCATGTCTCACGGTCGCGAAGAGTCTTTTTGGGTAGCTGAGTTTTTGTCCTTCGTATTCGTGAACAGGGCATCATACTCACAAAGTATTGGAACCATTGGTCTTTGATTTCGCAGGCGAAGGGCTCGCATTCGCGTAATGGAGAGCCTGTCTAGGAGCCAGTTGGAGCTAAGCCTTCGCCTTCGTGATGAGTTGATCACATTTGCGTAGGCCATGTGGATCTTAAGCATCGCCTTTGGGGGGTAGGAGCCGCGTTCGAGAAGGGTTAACTGAACGCTAAGGATTTTTGTGCTTCGCAAACGCGAGGCAGTGGTCGCATTCGCGAAGGGTATCATTTGATAGACTTTTAAGAGTTCTAATTTCGGGACATACACCCATTATTTTATATTATAAGCCGTAGACTTGGAGAGAGGCAATTTTTGAAAGGGATTTTCATAAAAGGCAAGAGGGTAAGTTAATCTCAACTAGATTTTAATATTATATCTTATTTTTCCATAGATTATTACACATAAATTATGGGATTTGAGAGAGAAATTTGGGGATTTTGTATAAGGTTTTAATGTGTGAAAAAATGGGGATTTGAACCCTGATTCGGAGTCGGATTTGGATAAAACTTCTATATTTTGGCTCTTATTCGAATGGGTAGTCGGGACTTTTGAGTTTTATCGGGTTCCGGGAAGCGGGCACGTGTAGAACTTTTTGGTTGACTTTTTTCTATTTGATAAAGATTTGATTTTATTAATTGAAATCAATTTCTATAGTCGTGTTTGATTATTGAGTTGTTTTTTCTAGATTCGAGTCGTTTAGAGGTCGATTTGCGTGGGAATGGCTTTTTGGAGTATTGATTCTCGCGCTTTGAGGTAAGTATCTTGCATAGGCTTGGCTTGAGTGTATTTTCCCCGTAGACGACGACGCTTGCTATGTGTTGGGGGCGACGCACGTATGTGGTGACGAACGTATATGCGTACAGTGTGGTTATTTATGATCCGGGTGGATCTTAGGCTATTATGTGCCTTGTTTTGCTATCATGACTTTCTGTACCGTATTT